CGCATTGCACTCATTATGTATGGATATACCCATCCCCTCCTCCCCCCTCCCACCTGCCCGACACCCAATAAATGTTATTCTTATATGTGCACTTAGGTGTTGATCAGTGAAACCAATTTATTTTTAAAGAACTAAGCTTTGGTTTGATTTTCTGTTTTCAGCTTCATTGTGTTCTCTAAACTTTACTCTTTTCTTCCTTCTACTTCCTTTAAATATAATTTCCTTTCTTTGTCTAGTTTCTTAAAGGGGAAATTTAAGTATCTGACTCAAGATCTTTCTTTCTATTATAAAATTTTTAAGCCACAAACTTGTTTCTAAGTACTACTTTAGCTGCATCCACAAATTTCTATGTATTTTTTTGTTTTCATTCACTTAAAAATATCTTAATTTTCTGTGAGACTTCCTCTTCACCCATGGGTTCATTAAAAGTGTGTAATTTATGTATATTTTGTATTTCTCTAGATAAATTTGTCTTTACTGACTTGTAGTATAATTTCTCTGTGGCTTGAGATAATCCTCTCTATATGGTTTTTTATATTTGTGAAGATTTGTTTTATAGCCCAAAATGTGTCCTATATTGATCAGTGTTCCACGTGCACTTGAGAGGAATGTGAATTCAGCTATTGTTGAATGCATCGTGTCTTCAGGTTTTGGAGGTGTGGTTATCACAAGTGCTACTTTATTTCTTCTACCTGTAGTGTTGGATCTACCGTGTATTCCTGCGCCTTCTCTTGTTTCTGTGCTGCTTCTTTTTTTTTTTTTTTTTTTTTTTTTTTAAAAAAGATTCTTGTCAAGAAAAAAGAATCTGTAATAGTTTAGTACATTTAGAGTTTTTTTTTTTTTTTTTTGTCTTCTTTCCTTCCCTTAGCTGCTGTGAGTTCCTGCTCATGCCCTAAAACAACAGATGTGGTATGTTCTTGCCCTTGCAGATTAAGACGTTTGTCTATAAATTAGATAAAAATATGGTTCTGGGCAGAATTTTGGCAGTGGCTGCTGTTAGCATTTCCCAGTATATCCCAAGGATGGAACTTTCTCAGGATTCTGTATGATCTTTCCTATGAGCCCCATTTGCCTCATGGAGGGAAATACTGCAGCAGTGTGCAGATCTTGTTTCTGTGGCAGTGGAAGATTAGCTCCCTGCTCAGCCTCCTTGGCACCACAGAAGCATTCCATATTTGTTTGGCCTAAGTATGGTGGGTATTGTCAAAAATGTTTTCTGTTCTGTTAGATCACCTTTTTCTCAGACCTTTGGCTAGAAGGAACAGGCTTTTCTTGGAGCTCTTTTTGTCTGTGCCTGTTGTTGGCTCTGGATTGTTGACTTCTTCAGCACCCAGTCTAGGATATATTGGAAGCAGAAAGAAAACCCTTGGAATTCTCCACTGTCATTTCTTTTTGAGACAGAGTCTCACTCTTTTGCCTGGGCTAGAGTGCCGTGGCATCAGCCTAGCTCACAGCAACCTCAAACTCCTGGGCTCAAGCAATCCTTCTGCCTCAGCCTCCCGA